TTTAAAAAGAGGAAGTTTCAACACCTAATGACCAAACTGATGAATCACACACACCCTGATGCTGCAGAGGAGATGATGAAGAGACGATAAAAACATATTATACACATGATGATGATGATGATGATTGTGATCCTTCATCATATTTGTTTGCAGGTTTTTGTTGACATCTGTCCTCAGTTTGTCTTTGTTGACACTTGTTCCTTGTTTACAACTTCTGATACTCAACTTTTAGTCAAGTTATCGATGTTTTTGGGTCTTCTGATAAAATGTATTTATTTTGAAAAGAACCAGACTTTTCCCAAAAAAGTGTAGTTCACTGACCGTCAGAGGATTTATTCAGAGCATGAGGTGTTCACTGACCACCTGACTCTTTATTCAGAGCATGAGGTGTTCACTGACCACCTGACTCTTTATTCAGAGCATGAGGTGTTCACTGACCACCTGACACTTTATTCAGAGCGTGAGGTGTTCACTGACCACCTGACACTTTATTCAGAGCGTGAGGTGTTCACTGACCGACCACCTGACTCTTTATTCAGAGCATGAGGTGTTCACTGACCACTTGACTCTTTATTCAGAGCGTGAGGTGTTCACTGACCGTCTGACTCTGTATTCAGAGTGTGAGGTGTTCACTGACCGTCTGACTCTGTATTCAGAGTGTGAGGTGTTCACTGACCATCTGAGGCTTTATTCAGAGCGTGAGGTGTTCACTGACCGTCTGAGGCTGTATTCAGAGTGTGAGGTGTTCACTGACCGTCTGAGGCTGTATTCAGAGCGTGAGGTGTTCACTGACCGTCTGAGGCTGTATTCAGAGCGTGAGGTGTTCACCGACCGTCTGACTCTGTATTCAGAGTGTGAGATGTTCACTGACCACCTGAGGCTGTATTCAGAGTGTGAGATGTTCACTGACCGTCTGAGGCTGTATTCAGAGCGTGAGGTGTTCACTGATCACATGTGGTCTTCTCATTGCCTGAGGTTGATGTGTGTTTTTCGACCACCTTAGGCTGGATTCAGACTTTGGGTCGTTCAATGACTGTGTGAAATAAATTTTCAGCACACATATGAAGGTGAGGATGCGTTTTATTGAGATGCAATTGTTTCAAGTTAAACTCTGATCTTTCATCAAAATGAAAGAAATGAAATTTCTTCACCTTTTCCTCTTCAAAAGGTCTCTAACTTTTCTTCTTCTGTCATTTGTCTTCATCTGTTTCTCTTTATCCTGCCGTGTCTCTCGTCGGTCTCCATCACTCCACATTAGCTCCTTCTCTCCTCTATTACCTCGCTCCTCCGTCCATTAGTAACACCTGAATCCTTCTATTAGATTCAGGAAGTTGGCCTCATAAATTCGACGGTGTCTGTGCGCTGCCGAGCAGCAGCTCACGGTTTCTCATAATGAAAGGATCTGAACTTAAATTCACATTACCTTTGTAATGTACTTCATGCTTGATCATATGGGGCTCTTTGATTTTATTAACGTCTCTGAATGAATTTCTGGCTCTCTTCCCGTCCATCTCCGTCTGTCTGTCCCTGAACGTCTCCTCCAACGACAACTTTGTCCTCTGAGGATCCACTGAAGGTCGAGGTTGCTTCACCCACAAACTGCTGACAGCCTGCAGAAAGGCACGATGGGAAAGGTTCAAATGTGGAAAATCCATTTGTCCTGAGAGAATTCGTAGTTTGTGGTTGACCCAGAACTCAGAGAATGATTCTGGTCCTTTTCACCTTTTAAACTGATGATGAGATGAAGCAGAACTTCAGCCTCTGAGATTCATGAGATCTGATTTTTGTTTCTGTTGAAGGAAATCTGAAAGGAGACTGACAGAGTTTATCTCTGAGCTTTTTGTAGAATCCATGTTTCACAACAGCAGATTTAAAATATATTTTTCCCCAGTCAGACAGAAAAATAGAGATTTAATCTGTCTGGAAGACCTACTCAACTTTTAAGATTTTACTGCCTGGATTACTGAGATGCATCAGGACGTTATTTGATCAAAATCCTTCATCTTTGTCTCTCCTTATATTTATCTACAACAAAGTTTCTCATAGTTTCTATGTTGAGATCTCACAATAGGCACTGGGACACCATCTTTCCCTCTTGGATTAATAAAGTACCAACCACCCAACATATCAAAAAACCAATCAATCAACCGACCGAACAACCAACCAACCAACCAACCAATAACTTGTCCAATGGTCCTACCAGCCAATCAACCAACTGTCCTACCAACCAACTAACTTACTAACCAACCAACCACATAACAAACTGCCTTACCACCTAACCAACCAACCAATGAGCTACCTAACCAACCAACCTATCAAAATCCTACCCAACCGGCCACCTAACTAACTAACCTATCAACCAACCAATGAACTACCCAACCAACCAACCAACCAACCAACCACCTAACCAACCAACCAACCAACCAACCAACCAACCACATAACCAACCAAACAACCTGTCAACCAACCAACAAACCAACCATCCAACCTGTCAACCAACCAACAAACCAACCAAACAACCTGTTAACCAACCAACAAACCAACCAAACAACCTGTCAACCAACCAACAAACCAACCAAACAACCTGTCAACCAACCAACAAACCAAAGAACCAACCTATCAACCATCCAACCTGTCAACCAACCAATCAACCAACCAACCTACCTATCAACCAACCAACCTGTCAACCAACCAAGCAATCTGTCAACCAACCTGTGAACCAACCAACCAACCTGTCGACCGACCGAAAGTTCAGAAATAGTCTGTTGTTTTAAAAAAAGATTACAGACTTTTTAAAATAATTTTCTAACATGGATTATTGAGATGCATCAGCACAATGAGTCTGTAACTTTTTTGTTTTAAAAAAAGGCACTCAGTCTTTTTCAGAATGTTTAATAAAGTTTTAAAGTCCTCCTCACATCAGATATGGAGGCTTGCTGAGCTGGAAGACCTGACCAGAACCTCTCCCATGACTGGTGGGACCAACTGGATCAGAATGACAAGACCAGAACCCCAACTCAGTCAAGTGACAGCAGGACAGATGAGATGTTACGTGAACCAGGATGTGTTAAGATGTGAGATGAGACATCTGGACTTCATGATGGTTGTCTGGTCATTGTGCAGGTCAGCCCTGAATGTAGATGTTCTGAACAGTACTGCAGACCAAGCTTATCTGCTCAGTTCCAGCCTCACAAGAACAATTTTCTGGAACGGTTAAAGTCCAAAGTATGAAACAAAACCATCTCAACTCTGGACTTCAACAAACCGTAGGTCCTGCTGCCTTCAGGGGCACTCTGAGCGTTTGTGTGCTGAGTCTGCAGGTATGGGCCACGACAAACTAGATCAGACAGAATTAATAACAGGCAGGTCAATACAAGCCGGCGCTGTTTGTTGTTTCATCCTATAAACACAAAATAACATTGATTTAACTGGGTTGATTTACCGCTTCTGTGTGTGTGTGTGTCTGTGTGTGTGTTTGTTTTGTGCAGCAAACATTGTTAGTTTTAGAAGCTGATCAGTCAACTAAAACTACATCACTAATTAAAACCCTGTTGTGATTGAGTGTGTTGTTGTGCGTTTATGTGCATATAAGTGTACGGTGTGCGGGTGTGTGTGCTAGTGAACATGTGTGTGTGTGTGTGTGTGTGTGTGTGTGTGTGTGTGTGTGTG